AGCTCTGGCAGCAGTTTGTCTTTCAGCATGTTTAGCTCTCAGTAAGAAATGCTCTTCTTAACAGAACTGGTTAAAAAGAACCCTGATCCATCCGACACCTCGAGGACAAACTGGGACACTGAGCCAGACCTCATCCAGGTCAGTGCAGGTAATTCAATGACGTTCACTCTCTGACACAGCAGCAAGTGTGACTGCAATGTTCACAGAACCAAACACAAGCCTTGACTTTCTTGCATGTTCAATAGCTGCAGCACACAGCCAAATAAAAGCCTCCACATATCTCTGATCTTGTACATCTCCAGTTACTCTGAGGTGTGTTTGTCTGTCATGGTCCACTCAGTCTGTCTCCACACGGGACATCCTGACATGAAACTAAATGTGGAAGTGATCATGACAGCTGGCTTCTCCCATCAGGTGTCCTTTTCTAGCGGGGAGAGGCGCCAACAGGACTTCATTAAATATTCCTGCAATTTAAGCATTTTGTTGATTAGGGGAAACGTTCATAAACATATAATGTGTCACTCGGACTTTGTCGTCAATGGACAGGATTTGCTTAATTCGGCGTACAGTCGGTTCACCTGGACAGGTGTGTTTCATCAGAATATCACTTTACTCTGTCACAGCAGCCTCCGTCCACCTACTGCAGCTGTCTGGAGGCGGAACTCTGCAGACAGCTGAGTGTCTGGTTCTGCTTCTGCCGAACCGGTACCTGGTCGTTTCATTCTATTCTATTCTATTCTATTCTATTCTATTCTATTCTATTCTAGCAGGAGCCCCAGCAGCTAGCCGAGCCTAGCTAGCCTGGCTGCCCCGTTAATCCCGGGCTAGCGGACGGTAGCTACCTCCGGCGGTAAATACGGCGGCGGGGTTTTGTTGTTCCGGTTGTTCTTCTTGTTCCGTCTCCTCCTGCCCCGCTTGCCTCGTCTCGTCCGCGACTTTTTCGACGTTTTCTTCCCGTTGTTGCCCGAGCCGGAGCCCTGTCCGTGTCTGCTGTGTCCGGGCGACACTGCACCACTTTCGGCCAAATCCACCATCGCAGAGCTCCGCAGAGTCCGAGCGGAGACCCGGAGGGTTCGGGTTCGGCTTAGGGTGGAGGGAGGCGGCAGCTGATGGAGGTCACGGCGAGGCTCCTGTCACACATCACACGGAGCGACACGCAAGGCCTGCCCGCGTAGAGCCCGGGGAGGATGCTCTCCTCTCTCCTCAGCATCAGGCACACTGAAGCTGTCAAAGCGGCTTTATTGATCACCAACGCGCTTCCGGCTGCGGCACCACTGGAACTTCACAATAAAATAAAGGTGATGAGATTCGCTTTCTGTGGTGAATATACAATTCTTAAATGTATGCATACCCTCCCATTAAAGAAGGAAACACAAAAAAACAACTGTCACAGAAATAAATTGAAATTGACAAAAGTAATAATGAATAAAAATTTAATGAACATCATGACATTGCTTTTGAATTGTGGCTCAACAGAAATTAAAGAACAAACAAAGAAAAAACACAGGGACAGTTTTTTTTTGTTTTTTTTTTTATTCTTCTTTTCAACCACAATTCAAAAGCAATTTCTTATTTCACTAAATTATAATTTAACAATTTTTAAAAATGTATTATTACTTTTTTCAGTTGCTAGTTATTAGAGTGACTGTTGTGAATTTTGCCTTTTCTTTAATGGAAGGGGATGAAGACATTAGAGGACGACTGTACCTCTAAAGCTTCACAGCACACTGAGTGAAATATTCCATTTCAGGATGCCAGAAACATTTATGGAGTTTGTCTGAACTGAATGCACAGTGTTGAGAAGACTTCATCAGAGAAAGGCTCACACAGTTTGACTGACAGGGAAGATAATGAGCACCATCATCATGAATACAGGGACTGAAGTATGGGGAGAGGTTCTCAGTGAAGCAGCAGCTAGTAAAGGAGTAGATCAGAGCTGCAGCATCAGGATAAAAAAAAGAGACCAGAGCCTCCTCATAGTCCACAAACACTCCCACCTTCTCAGGGCGACACTTCAAACTGACCGATAGACCAGCAAGAGCTTTCTACTCATTTCTGTTTCTTTCCCGGCACACTGGAAGAATGAGAGCATCTTTTTTGGTTGTCTTGAAGATTCTTATTGAGATCATGACAGTGTACCAATCATCAGACAGGAAGAGTCGGGGATTTGCTGTCTCAGGATCCAGAGTCACATCCACTTCAAACTGCTGGACCGTCTTCAGCTCTGCATCCAACAGCTTCTTCATCTGTTCACCTCCAGCTGAGCCACAGCTCTCACCACAGCCCCCTCATGTGATGGTGGTCGGACACTGACCTTCCGTCCAGTCCTCGGTGGGCAGAGCAGCCTTCAGTGATGAGACGCTTTGGAGGAGATGGTCTTCAGATCGTGAGAGCTGCTCCACCTCAGAGCTCCTCTTCATCAGCTCACAGATTTCCTGCTCCAGATCTTTTATGGAGTCCTCTGCCTGTCTCTCTGCTGTTTTCAGATTGTTTCCCAGCTCCTCTATGAGCTGGTTTCTCAACCAACTTGTTCAGAGCAGTGAAGACTTGAACACCTTCTGCTGCCTCTCTGTCTGCAGCATCTTTGCTGGTCTTCACTGACTCTGATCTCCTCAATCTTCAGTCGTCTCTTCTGGATCATCTGCTGAATTTCAGCCTCTGTCTTCTCCAGCTCTGCCTTCTTTTCTTTATAACTTTCTTTCAAAGGAACAACATCATGAGTCCTGTGGTCAGAGCAGAGCATGCAGACACAAGTATGGTCTGTCTGACAGAACAGCTCCAGAGGTTTATCGTGCCTCTTACACATCCTGTCGTCCAGGTTCTCTACTGGCTCCATCAGCTGATGTCTTATCAGGCCTGACACTGTCTAATGAGGCTCCAGGTGGGTCTGGCAGTAGGACACCAGAGACACCACGCAGGTTCCAGTGCAGACATCACAGAGAACTTCTCCTGATCCTGCAGCTTGTTGCTCTGAGCTGCTGCTGCTGGTTTTCTTTTGAGCTTCATGTCTGAACTGAGCGACCATCTCAGAGATCAGAGTGTTGGTTGGATCGATGTGGAGTTGTAGTAAGTAGATAGAGTTTGTGTCTATTCTTTATTCTTTACATTTTCAATTTGCTTGGTGAGCTACCTGTTGGAAACCCCTGATTTAAAACCATCTGAAACAAGAGTTTGAACTCAGTCACACAGATAAGACTTGCAGAAACATTTTTAATAAGATATTGTAATCAGCAGCATCAAAAACCACATACAGAACAATGAATGAATGTCACCTACAGCTGCAGCTACAGCAGGTCTAAGAAGTAGACAAGACAGCTGAGATGTTTTGTAGGTTGGCAGGTACTGAGGGCACTTCTTACTGACAGTTTAAAAGTCAGCTCTCCGTTCATCCTTTACTGAATCTTAGAGGCAGGTGAGCTGTCTGTCCAGGCTGGGAACAACTCTCCTCCTCATAGGAATCTGTTTGTTGGCTGCACACAGAAGGAAACACAACTTGGCAAAGAATGCTCCAGTTTCAAAATAAAACACTCCCTGGAACCAAAATTGATTTTCTGAATCAAAATCACTATCTGCTTTGGCCAAGTAGGTAAACACACACAAGAGGTCTGACTGTGTTTCAGGTCCGTTAATGTCCTCTAAATTAAGTGATGCCTCAAAAAAACTGTCACAAAACAACAGAAAACTGCAAAAACTTCTAAAATGTATGTGAGCACAGCGCTTGAGTGACTGATAAATGAAAACTTACAGTGTAAAATGAGCACAAAGGGAAGCAAGACAACAGCAAAGACATGCAAAGTTACCGAAATTAAATGCAAAACAAGCCTACAGAGACAGAAACGACAAATCTATGCAAAGTGACCCCAAAGAGATGGCAAATGATCGCAAAGACATGCAAAACCAACGAGACGAAACGCAACACAGCCCTCAAGAAATGGCGAGAACAACAAGACAACAGGCACAAACAGGAAAAAAATAACCTTGAAGAGTCACAAAACAATTATAGAGATGCAAACTGCTGCAACAGAACTCAGACATGAAAGGATCAGAACAGGACCTGATGGCGGGGCGCAGGTGGTTTAATGGTGTGGATGTATGGGATGTGTGAGGAGCCCACTGTGTCATAACATAATATAATAATAATCCTTCTGTGGGCATCAACATTGTGCTCTGACAGGCTTTACATTTCAAATGAGGTACGCTTATTGCAGCCACGCATCTTATTTTGAAAATCTGCTCCGAAAGCCGATGTAACTTCTGCCCTTGACACTGAAGTGGAGGCTGGTTGACAAAACTTCTCCAGAGATGTTCCATTTTTAAACGATGACCCCGCGTCTGTCAGGGGTATCTAATGTCTACATGTCCGTGTGAAGGTCCTCAGACACCGGGTTGCTCAGTTCGCCGACCCGCTCGGACTCGTACCGCCGCTGTTAGCTCGCAGACTGTCCTTTCAGCTAGCCTGAAGCTAACCAGCTAGCTACCAACTGGCCACTCAGCCACCGACCGAGGTGCTGCTGCTCCCGGTGTGTTCTCGTCCCCCCCTCCGGGACCTCCGGCACAGTGAGTGATGTGGAAAGTAACTTTGCAAGCGCTCGCTGTTTTGCTACTGGCCTGGTTCTGCGGGAACTTTGTTCTGGGTTGGTTTCAACAGAACAACGTAAAGCCCCAAACGCAGCACCGGGAGCGTCCGGACAGCAGCGCCGCCGCCAGCCAGGACCAGAGCTGCTTCTGCCATGTAAGTACCGGCACCGCTCGGTACCGAGTCTCACCGGGTTATCGCGGTTCGTCAGTAAACAGGACAGCGGATGGTCTAGCACCTTCTGCGTCATCTCGGTCTGACGTCACCGTGTGTACGCGTGACGTCACCGTCAGCTCTACCTGCCGCTCGTGCTCAGGTCTTCTGCGCTCCTTACACGTGTCATAGCTAAACACTAGGTTCTGTGTTTCTTTAAGGCTTTAAAGTCGTGCCAGAATAAACAAATAATCTTTCCCCATCAGATGATTCACGACATGACAAGACTGTCAGTTGTTTGTTTGTTTGTTTGTCTTCCTCATGTTGACGCTTCGCACTGAAACAAACTGACGGAAGCTCAACAACGAACAGTGACACTTCTAGAAGTCGCACACAGATTGGGATTTTCAGACAAACTGATGTAATTTCCATGACAAGACTGGAAGGCGTGGTGTTCTCTGATTGGCTGTAGTAGAGCGCGCGCCTCGCACCGCCTCATGGGAGTTGTAGTCTCTTGCGTCGCTGCTAATAAGCCCTGTCAGCGGCCTGGCACCTCGCAGTGGACTACAAACTGGGAGGCGCTGTCTGGGGGGCGGGGCTTATCTTGACAGCTGGGTGTTTGGAGGCGGGGCTCGTGGTGGGCCTGGGACTGGAGCTCTGGTGACAGCTCAGCCCACAGACAGGCAGAAGTGCTGCTGTGACACATGAACAGAGGAAGTTTCAGTTTTCGGGGGAGTTAGAACGCAGAAAGCTGAACTTTTTGGGCGGACAGCAGAATGCTGAGGGCGGTTTGTCTCTTCCTGCCTTTCGTAGCGCTCAGTGGACTGCTGCACTCAGAGGTCAGCTGTGTTTTCGTTGTTGTGATGTACCACGGTGAGACTTACGGGGTTTCTGGGTGTCTGTGGGGAGCTGGACACCAAACTACTGATTGCAGCAACAGCGAGTAACAAACTGCCATTTGTGCCTTTAACTAAACGCCTTGAACTGTTTTGATATTTTAATATTTTAGAGAAGTACCTGTTAGTCTACCGGCCACATGAGAATATACCTCACTTTTCTTTTTCTTTATGGATATTTTAAATCTTTAAAGCTTTGTACGGAAGTGTTTTAAAAGGTTCTTTAAAGGACCTCTGTTAGTGTTTCTCAGATTTACCTCAAGCGTCAAAAGCTGTGTCCATATGCTTGGTCATAACCTGGTCTGATAACTGAACTCTAAGTCTGTTTGTGTTTAAACATGTTTGTTTTTTTTTAGGGTGTAAAAAGGTGTGGTTGTGTGTGTTTTAGTTTACAGGCCTCATTTAAAAAAATATGCTGAGTTGTCTGAAAAGACTGATGTACTTTGGCACTAATTATGTGTAAAATACGCCTCGTTTCAAAGTAAAGCTCACTTTAAACTTTTGTTTTGAATGTTATGTGTAACTGAATGCGTTGTGGTGTTTCACCTTGAAGTCACAAAACCAGCAGGGTGACGTGTAGGCAGCTAACATATGTCATTCAGAAATTGCTTTGAAAATTAGATTCATGGTTAATTCATAAATCGTAACCTTTTTAATTTGTCTACTTCACATTTTAGAAACTGGATAAACGCATGTAAAACACTGCAAGAGCCAGTGATCGAGTATTTTAACTTGTTTGCATGTTTGTTTGTGCAAATAGAAAAAACAAAGAGACTCGTAGAAATGGGAAGTTCAGACGGTAAAATCACCCACCAGTGCTGTGTGGAGCTGCAGCAATTAATTGATTAACCGACCGATTATTCTGACTAATTGTTTTGAATGCTTTCTAATAACGCATAATACTTATATGGCACTTTTCAAGAAAATCAAAGTGGAAAAAAAGGAATATTTTCTGTTTTTTTTCCTTCCTTGATGACATCTTGGGTTTTAATCAACAACTAACTGATTAATTGGACACTTAGATCAATATTATCATTTGCAATATTACTTTTTCCAGTAATTTGTGCAATTCCAGGTACAGTATTTAAATTCAATATTTCATCATGAGGTGTGACGTTACTTATTGCCAGCATTACCTGATAATATTTTTCTATTCTAGTCGTACTTTAGCTTATTTTATTTCAGTAATGTGTCACACTTACATCCTGTTTCTACTTTTATTCCCTTCATTTCTGATGTTGTGTCATTTTTATTCTCTGAGCAACATCTGGCACAAGAATCCCCCTCAAGAATAATAATAATGTTTTATCTTATTTGTCTCTTAATCGACAATGAAAATGATCATCAGTTGCAGCCCTAACTTGCAAACTAAAATAACCTACAGAGTTTGAATTATTGCGCGGTCATACAGGAGGTGTTGCATAATGATATGTTGGAATTGTTCACTTCTGCTTCCTCAGGAGTGAATGTTTTCTGGGTCTCTTTTTCTTTTCTGTGACAGTAAATTAATTATGATTTTCTTTGGACAACACACAAGATTTAAAGTTCTTCTGGCGTTTTTACAAAGCAAAACATTCGTCTGATATTTTAGTGTATAACCACCAGTTACCCAGTGTTCAAGGCACATGAGCCGACTCTGTTTCTAACCAGTTAAACCAGATAATTAGCTGGTGCTCGCTAACCTGCTACCTGCTAGAGTTACTGATAAAAAGGTCTGAAGCCTGCTCACTGGTGGTGCTGCTGCCACACTTATTTCTTCACTGATATCATTCACATCTGGGCCGTGCGGTTGCTCATCAGTTCAAACACATTTGTGTTCGTTTAACATGTTTGTGGTGGTCCGGGTTCTGTGTGACCTGCTTGGGTTCAGGTAACAGCGTGCCGCGTGTCCTCTCACAGCAGCAGAGGATGTATTATGTATGAACGTGCAGGTGGGTGGTAGTTTGACTGTCTGAAAGCAAGACAGGTGGAGCAGCGAGCCAACATGGTGCTCACACAGCATGTTGCAGACCAGCACGTTATTGTCGTCTGTACAAGATGCTAATGCTTTGTATTATAAATTAAGGCAAATAACTATTTCATAAACCGTTTATAACAAGCTGGGATGTAGTTGTGAGTAACTACGCTGACATTTAACAGTGTTTTATTCATCAACCACCATAGCGTTGGCTGTGGAGATAATTTCTAATATTACAGCTCTAGTTTATTACCGGTTCATACGCTAGCAGGAGGAGTTCCAGGTACTGACATGTGTATTATTAATCATGTCCTAACCATTCATGTTTATTACCAAGCATTGTGTTGTACTCAACTGTTTACCTAAAGTGTGAATTTAATTGTGAACTATTGCTTTTCTTTTTTCAGAATCATTTAGTGCTTGCGTCTGACGTGTTCTTTTGAATCCACCTCCTGTCAGTGGCAGCTGCAGCTACAGTTGTTGTCCTTGAACCTTAAAGCAGTAACACGTGTTTTTTGCTGTGCTCTGCTTCAGCTCACAGGAGTCCTGGATGACTGCTTCTGCGATGTCGAAAGCATCGACGTCTTCAACAACTTCAAGATTTATCCTAGCATCAAAAAGCTGACAGAGAGAGACTACTTCAGATACTACAAGGTGAGAGCTGCTGCTTCACTGCAAATACAAGATGACTCCATGCACATTACAGCCCTAAAAACTAAAGATGCACAGGTGGTAGAGCAGGTTGTCCTCTCATCACAAGGTTGGCGGTGCGATCCCCTCCACAGTCGAAGTGTCCTTGGGCAAGACACTGAACCCAAAGTTGCTCCCGATGGCAGGCAGCACCTTGCATGGCAGCTCTGTGGCCACTGGTGTGTGAATGTGTGAATGAGAAACACATTGTAAAGCGCTTTGAGGACCACCAAGGTAGACAGAAGATACAATCATTTCACCATCACAGATATGCAATTGACAGCTTCTCAGACCCACACACCAGAGACCGGCGGCCTCACAGCTCTGAATCCTGGAGGTCCAGATACCACATTTTTAGGGTGATGAGTTTAAAACTTGATCTAGGCGGTCGATAAACCTTAACTGCGACAACTGCTGAGCTCCCTGTTAACCAGTGAGATCCTGAAGTGGGACAGCCGAGGTTGTTAGTGTACAAAAAGAGTACCACTCCTTGCTTTTTCTAGCATGAAACTGATACTGAGTGGTGCTTCCTGTACCTTAAAAGCGTCGCTGATAGAGCGTAGCAGCATATTAACCAGACAACAGCCCTTTTTTTAATGTTCCATCACATTTCATTGGACCAGTCTACCCAGATTTGTTAAAACAAGTAAGCAGATGCTTTTTGCCATTAGGTGGTTGCATAAACCCGAAGACAAACTGATTCATATTGTTAAGCCAACCAACAGAAGAGCTCATTTCCTTGCTGTCAGGAAGTTGGCAATTATTTTTTTAATAAGCGTTGTTTACCATGTCCTGATCGTAATAAGTATAAAACAACAATCTGCATGCTAATAGTCATCTCCTTGTAGCAGTTATTAGAGCAGTAAAATCAACCAGCCTAACTTAAACCTGACTGCTGCAGCTTTTAGCAATCAGGTTTACAGTCACTGCTCCTGAAATGTCAAATTCCTGCTTGTCAAAGTGACTTGACATACAGCCCTGTAGCCTGGAGGACAGCATCCTGCTAACTGTTGAAGCCTTTGCTATGAAATGACAATCTGCCCCCAGTAGGTCAAAATGTACACTTTCAGGTCATGATGGTAAAAAGCGCTTTACAGTGTGTTTCTCATTCACCCATTCACACACATTCATACACCAATGGTGACAGAGCTGCCATGCAAGCTGCTGCCTGCCATCGGGAGTTCAAGGACACTTCAAATGTGGACGGGCCGGGAAAGAACCACCAACCGTGTGATTGGAGGACAACCCGCTCTACCACCTGAGCCACAGCCGCCCAGATGAGAGGATAACTTTTAAACGAATGACCTCAGGACTTTAAGATTATTGCTAAATGCTAGCATGCTAAGTTAATAAGGGACACTTCCTTACCTTGCTTCAGGATCATACATCACACCGGTGCCACCTGTGATCCTCCCACCACCGTAAAACCAGACGGTGAATCGAGATCACTGCACACGTCTTCTTCACATCTGCCCCTCATACTTGATCTGTTTCCCATATTCAGGATATAAATATGACAGGCAGCAGTCACAACCTGAGACACATTTCAGGTTACGGTGGAGTCTTTGAGGTTGGCTGCCTGATTATTTTTAGTGCTCTATTTGTGCCATCTTTAACGTTGCAGTGCCTCCTTAGTAGTGAGATTTGAAGTCTTACAGGACCCTGATAATAGCTTTAGCAGTAATGATGAGACACCAACCAAGGTCTTGTTTTATTCTCCATGAATCCATCTTTTCTCCAGGTGAACCTGAAGCGACCGTGTCCTTTCTGGCCTGACGATGGACACTGCGCCATCAAAGACTGCCATGTGGAGCCCTGCCCAGAGGTCAGACCTCAAGCACACCCACACCTGCTTTATATACAGACAGACCACTGACCAGATCACACATTCCAGTAGTTTATGTTAGGCGAGCGTCAGTTTCATGTGTATTGTGCTGTTTAAAATGTATTCCCTGTAGTTCATTTACGCTGAACTTTTTGTTCACGCTGTTTGCTGTGTTTTACAGAGTGAGGTTCCCATCGGCATCAAGTCTGGGAACTACAACAAGGTGAGACCAGTCGACAAAGTTCACATTGTCTTTAGTGGAAGATTATTTCACATTTTGATCCGTGAATCTTTGTGGTGATGAGTGAAGTAAACTACGGCGTGTGTCAGTGGTAGTGAAGGAACGTGTTAGTGCAGCAGTCATGTGGCAGAGGAAGAAGACATATCGTTAGCATATATATTCATCCTGGGTGTTACAGTACAGTGTAGAACATCATCAGAGCCGACTTTGAATTAACACCTGAGCCGTGAACAGAAGCCCAGAGCTGAACCAGGCTCATGTCTGGACAACGAGCTCCTGGAACCGGTCCGATGGAGGAGAGCAGCAGCTGCACTTGTTCCAGGACTTTGTGTTTC